TCATGTTGAGTAGTCTATGTTTGATGAAAAACAATTATGGTTGTTATTGAGTGTTGTGTCACTTTGAGATTAATATTAAAAGAAGTAACAATTACAATATATTTCTATTCGACTCTTTTCTGAAAGAACCTACAAGTTCATATTTAATACCTTGTTTCTAGGTTCGATGGACTCCATTTCAGAATAACTATTTTGAAGATAAGGAACTAGGTCGATATCTTCCGGAGCATCATCTACGGCGTCATACAAAGAGTAATCTGTGGAGTAATTTTGAGCTCTTCGGATGTAGTTCATTAGGAGATTATATTCTTCGTTGGAAGGATACTCTCCCTTGGCACAATAGGCAGCTACCATCAGCACAAGAATATTCTGAAAAAAAAATTGTATTCCCTTGAAAAATCACCGTAATCCCTTGTCCATATACAAGTTGATTCCGAAATTGGAGCAATAAATGAAAGTAGGTAAAAGGAAACGAAAAATCAAATTGAACAGTACATTAATAGAACTTTATGGTAAATTGTTGGTTGAGGGGTTAACAGCTGAACCTAAGCATTTGCTTTCGGCGAGGTCAGAAGTACCGGAAGTATCAATAATGACTTTTGTGAATATAAAAAACTCCACGAATGATAAGTTTTTACAGAGTTCCTAAAAACACGACATACAGTGCTTTCATTTCAAAACTTTTACCACCCTGAATAACTCTTAATCAACAATTATTAGAATCTTCGCAAAAAAAAGAGAAAGATTTAAATATCAAGGGGGAGTTAAATCACCAGTATCAACTGATTGCTATATGTTCGTCTTGCAACATTAATGTTCATTTATTGGTACCTCATTGTTCCACTATTGAAAACAAATACTGCTTAGTTTTCCACAGAGTATACCTGTATATGATCTGTCCAGCACAAATGAACATCTATTGTGACGCCTGAAAATTTCGTTGATTCACAGTAAGAAATGTCCACTTCCTGAATATTGATTTCGTTTGGATACAAAATATTATTTCTGCTAAGTCTAAATAGTAAACAGTTTGTTTCTTATGTATTCAGTAACAAGTTGTTATAGCACACTTTGTATTTCATTGCAATTTCAGATTCCTCCTTATGAGCTGATTGATAACAATAATATACGAAGTGATACTTTTTTTTTTCAATTTCCTACGTTACCACAATTACACACAAAGTTCCCAGTGGCTGCAAGCCCAACACTTAATTGATGATTTTCGCTACTTCGGCTTGTGCAAATCGGCATTTTATGTTATTTCCATGATCCGTGACACATTGCCTTCAAAATAAGGAAAAAAAATCGCGCTCGAGAATGTACAGGTGACGATATTTTTTTTGCAACTTTGTGGCACTCCTATTTCCTTATGTCACGCTCAAATCGTCAGATTATTGAAATGCACACTTTTCTCCATGTAATTAACGTACCATGTCTTAATCTCACGCGCTCGAGCATATTTTTTACTAATCTGATCGGCTGCCCTAAACTTTCGTCACCATATAAAGGGCCCAGGTATGGTGGGAGTACTTCACAAGGTCCAAGGAGACCCCCCTTATGTTAATCTGCCGCGCTCGAGTAAATCCCGAAATCCCCGCTTGGGCTCCCCTACTATAAATAAAACAACGAATCCGAGCGTTTTTTCAAAATCTTACCTCTCAATTTCAATTGAATTAAGATAATATTTCTGGAAAGTACTGTAGATGCTTCCAAGAAAAATGATTTCTAGCTCATTCCGCACATCTGTTCGTCTAATAACACACAACGTCCTAGGGACGTCCCTATTTGGTACAATTCACGTCCGAATGTCCCGAATCAAAAATAAGTGTCCTTGGGACGTCCCATCCCGTACATCTAATGCAATGTCCGAGCAAGGACGTCCACGGGATGTCCCAGCTGGTACATCATTTCAAATGTCCTAGAAATAGCATCCCTTAGACGTTCCACGTGGTACATATTGTAGAATGTCCATGCAAGGACGTCCTTGGCATGTCCCGGATGGGATATGATTTTAAACGATCCTTTAGGGACATCCATCGGATGTCCCGAGTAGTACATATTCTGGCATGACTTCAGATCTCATATGATGTCCCTTTTAGACAACCATGAAATGTCCCCGATGGCACATTCCTTCAAATATCTCTGCACAGACGCCCTTAATATTTCCAGGATCGTCTAACAATCGAAATGTCCCTCAGTCCCTTAGGGATATCCGTCGGATGTCCTAATCGGTACATAAACTGTGCTCTTCCAATGTCCTAGAAATAACGTCCAATGGACGCCCCAGTCGGTACTTTCAATATGTTGTCCCTGCGAGGACGTTAACTTAGACCTCGCCGATGAATGATTGCTCGTAGGCTATAAATACTCTTCGTCAATGTCCTTCACGTAAGTCCATTGGACATTCTTGGGAAACTTTTTGGGGACCTTCTACGGACCATCAACTCAACTGGATGTCCTAATCAGTTATGCAAGATCTGGTCCTAGAGGGATCCAGAAAAATTCAAATTCAAGAATAATTCGTACGTCCCTGGGACATCCTATGGACATCCAATTGATATCCTGTAGCGTTGCTGATGGGTTGTCCTATGGATGTCCTAAGGATGTCCTCTGTAGTGCTTGATGAGCAATACTGTAGGATTTAGGTATTCGATAGTCGTCCCATGGACATCCCTCAAGGACGTCCCTAGTTGGTCCTCAAGTGGGACATTTGTGCGTCCCACAGACGTCCTATGGACGTCCACGGTACCAAATTCGAACGTCCTATGGACGTCCTGAATGTCCCGACAGGACGTCCTAAAAGGATATCCATGGGACATAAGTGTGTTATTAGGGTATCGTCAACTTAGAGATATGTCAACTACGAAATAGTCACAATCAGAGGCGGATCAAGGGTATATTGCGCCCCAAGCCGAATCAAAATTTGCGCCCTTCCCCCCTCCCGGCCTTATTTGTCTTTTTTAACATGAACATGAATTATGAAATGAGAAAATAAAACAATTAAAAGAAAAATAAAATGTTTTTAAATAGATGTTTGTTACATTACATGTCAAAAAATGTGAAAAATATTTTCTTCATCACATAACAATCATAACATATTTAAAAAATGTCCAATTGACACAAAACATGCCGTCAATATGACATTATCGAACAAAAAGATTTCTTTCTTGGTTTTGCATGAGCAAATTCATTGGCAGGCAATGCCTTTGAATCCAACAGCTTTTCTGACATTGTGGATCGCAGATAGTTTTCAACTCTTTTCAGCACAGAAAAGGATCTTTCACCGCTGCAATTTGTCACAGCAGTACTTACTTGCATTCTAATGGCGATTTTGCAATATGGAAAAACTCCTCTCATACTTTTTTTTATCGCTTGGAGCGCACGAAAGGGAATCCCTATAATGTTCAAAGAACATCGTGCGTTCCTAGGGAGGATAGGGATAGGAGATAGGTATTGGAATTTTTTTTGAACTTCTGGAGATTATATGTTGTTGGGAATACTTCCTCAGGCAATGAATTCCAGAGCCTAGCCGTTCTATGGATGAAGGAGTTTTGGTAAAGTGCTGTTCGACATCTTTCGAGGTTGACAACGAAAGGATGTGCTGACTGGGCTTGTCTAGTTCGTCTGACTGGCATTGCTAGTGAAGGATGAGATTTCCGAAGAACATTTTCCGTGGAAGTATCGATAGAAGAGTGAAAGGTCGCCGACCTTTCTACGGTGTTCCAATGATGTCAAAGAGTGAGTGAGTGTGGCGTCACCCACCAGGCGGATGGCTCTTCTCTGGATGGAATCTGAGAGCATCAGCGTATGTTTTAGTGCTGAACCCCATATGTGGAAACAGTATTCTAGAACAGGCCGTATCTGCGCTTTGTAGATCATGAGGAGCTGTTGAGGTGTGAAGTAGCCTTTCGCACGGAACAAGAATCCGAGTTTTTGTGAAGCAGCTTTTGCGATGGATCTGACATGATTATCCCATGAAAGAGTTTTGCTGATGGAAATACCGAGCATAGATATGGTGGGCTTGGTGGGGATGGTGGTGCCAGACATTACAATGTCGGGCATACTGAGTTCCGCCTTTCTAGAGAAAATACAGGCTTGAGTTTTGATGGCGTTGAATTCAACTAGGTTGTTGGTTCCCCAGGCTGCAATTTCAGCAAGGTCTTCATTGACAGCATTGACCTGCCTGCGCCGTGAGTTCTTAGTTTCCTGGGAAGAAATGGGAATTCTGGAAGAGAACGCAGTATGGAATGAAATGTTAAATAAATACAAAAAGCTCAACGTCTTAGGTCGTACAACTCTTTACCAGAACTAGTCTCTCTATAGAACAAGAAATTTATAATAATCTGCTTGTCTAGGAAAGTATTTCCAAGATCTCATAACCTCCAAAAGGTCCAAGGAAATTCGAATACCTACCCTCTCTCCCTATCCATCTCAGATACGCACGATATTTTTCATTCCCTAAGTATACGCATACATCAATAAGATGTGGAAAATTATCAGATTGACTTTGACCATACAGTACACACGCTGGTATATCACCTACGTCCAACTTACTAATTGACTTTAATAGATAAATTAGAGTATTTGCCAGGCCCCTCTAACCTGACGATTTAGAGGCCGAACAGGCCAACAAGTACACGAGAGAAAAATCGTTGATTGTAGCTATAATTCTCTCCGAAGAACGACAATGAAATCTGCACAAATACATCGAGATAAAGTCCATATCACAATCTTATAGTTGGCTAATAGTTTGTTTATTATTATGAACGATCGTGTTTTGATTTCATTTATTGTTGTTGAGGTTTGAAAAGATCAGGTATAGTGCGGTTTATTCAACCAAATCTAAACCCAAATGAACACTAATCTACGAGTTTAGGAAAAATATGACCGAGTGATTTGAAATGATATTCTTGTGAATAGCAAGAGGACGTATTCTTGTATGAGGCTGAAGTTCTCTCTCGAAGGGCCTTCTGAAGTGTACAATTTTCTCATCTGAAGAAATGATAATGTGGACTCCTGCTGAGGATATAAAGAAAAGTGAAAATGGTGCAACCAATAAAAGGTGAGTTTGCTATCAAATATATGATTAGTATGTATGAAATTGAACTGAATGATTCATGATTACCTATAAATCTGAATCAATATGTTTTTGTTTATGGTATTTTTCATACAGGTTGCCCTTGTTTCCACTCTAACTATGGGGATTTCCATGTTTGTATAGCGATATGAAGTTATTGGTTAAATTAAGTTGCACATTGTTGCGCTGATTGATAATCTGAAAAGAATCTCGTTCTATAATTTTCAGTTTATGAAATATCGGAAAAATGAATTTGATTTTTTGAACAGAAAACCAATCAAGTGAGCCTCTGTTTCAAGAAAGGGATTCAAAAATACTAATGAATTTGCATAGCATATCAAAAAATGACTCTCCATTTACTGAAATGGTGGAACTTTATTTAAAGGCCTTGTAGTTTAGTTCATTTGTGAAGACATTCCATATTTTGTTTAGTTTTGAAAGAATCCTATTCAATCTTAAGTACTATTTTTTTTTCTAGAAGCATGAGACATATTTTCTTTGCCATTTCTATTACAGCACCATCAGGTATTCCATGAATCTCCCTATCATATTTCTATTGAAATAAACTGGGTATACTCTGGAATGTTCTAGAATATTTGTGGAATATTCTCTCAATATGCAAATGAGAATTCCTAAGATATTCATAGAATATATCCAAGAGAATCTTCTATGTCGAATGTTCCTGGAATATAATCCGATAAACTTATTCTAAAATAAGAATCGTTTGAGATTTTCATTGAAGAATTGTGGAGATGACTGCATGGGAGATTTTCTACTACTTCATCCATTTATTCCACTTTGAGATACCATGTACTTCTAGTATAGATGAAAAAAAAAGGACCTAAGATGGGATCGAACCCCTGACTTTCAGACTATCAGAGCAACGCCATAACCACTAGGAAGACCAGTTGACGAATTTAATAATTTTGTACACAACAATTTCTTGTAAGAGCGTTGTTCAGAATCGGATCATAAACACTTTCCGTTTCAAAATCTCCTTACATATAATCAATGTTTGATAGTCACGTCTCTGAAAAAATGACAATACAATAACAACACAGAATATTCAGTTGAGGATATTCCTAGAACATTCATACCTGAATATTCCCTGAAAATCCAACCAAAATATTCTGAAAATATTCACTTCTGAATATTTCTGCTGGAATATTCCTTGTATATTACTTCAAAATATATCACTGGAATATTCACATTGTAATATTCCTTGGATGTCCCAAGGGCATGTATATATTCTAGGAATATTCGGTGGATATTCGGAATATACTCTCCTCATTTTTAAAATCTTTAGAGATTCTAGGAATTTTCAGTGCTGTCTGGGTATTAGCCACTCTGGATATCCTCACAGTACAGACGTATCTTCCACTTCTCACAGATTTTATACAGGGTGGCCTAACGAAAACGGAACAGACGGAACTTCCGGGATATGCCGAAATAGGTTGATTATTAATTCATGGGCACAATTTTTTTATCCGATTCTTATCTGTCCCATGGCATTCTATTTCCTTCCACTTTCCATTAGAATATAGAGAAGGTACCTACCATGTATCGCACATTATAGAAGGTAATTTGATGAGGAAACATCGATAATATGAAAGGGGGTTATTTCTCCTAATTATTGGAATTTTCTTTCCTTGTATCTATAAATAATGTTGACGTTTCGGAAACAAATCTGTCCCCGTTTTCAACAGTAAAATGGAAAAGTATTCCTCACAAATCGTCTTTGGTTTTCTCCATTGACTCGTTTGACAATAACCGGAAGTGACCGGAAAGTGCAAAATATGCGAAAACTCTTCTCTCCACATTCCATTTTTTCCTATACCAAATCTCATTTAGATACATCTAACATAACAGGCTTAGAAAACACTTCATTGAATCATCATTGGCACAATATTGGCGCCTTCAGTGGTAAATTACTAAAGTGGACCGCCGCTGGCTTAATGCATTGGCGTAGCAGTCATTCCATTTATTGCTTATTCATTTATTGCCAATGATGAATGATTGAAATTTCTCAATGGTTTCTCAAGTACGTCGTTCATTTTCACACAGAGAATTTGACTCATTATAAAAATAAAAATAGCAATTAGTATTCAGTTATTCACATCTAAGGTACCAAGAGTTCGTGAATTCCGTTTTTGTGTTTGATATTGGAATTTCTGGAACTTATGGGGAAATGGACAGAACTGATAAACGTTTCTCTCTTTGGGTATCTGAAATAAATCATTTATGAATTTCAAGTTACCTTATTCAAATCACAACCCTTCCTAGCTACTATACCTAGCTACTACCTGGCTACTACCTGGCCTGCTACAACAATACTTAGATGAAAGCAAATATTCAAGTATGAGGTAGAGGTAAATCTCTCAAGATTGAAACTTCATGGTACGAACTATTGCCCATTGTCGAAAAAATGGAGAGTGAAATGCAACTGATATCAACTAAGAAATAGCCACAATGCTCAAAGTGCGATGAAATGTTAAATAAATATAAAAAGCTCAAAGTAATTTCCACGAAATGTTCATGAAATGAACAACAATGGTATATTTCGGGAGAAAAACAACTACTTTCCTGGCTGATGCCACGCAGAAAATTGAATTACATAATCCCGAAATCTATGCATCGACTCGTATAAATATAAATGACTGATTATTCCAAATTTTTTGGGATTTTCTCTCCTCGTTCTATAAAATAAAAATATGAATATTATCTCAATATACGTTGTCTCCGTTCAGAAGAATGCAAGCAGATTCCTGAACGGAGACAATAGCATTGCTTCTTGTTCAGTTGATATAGACAGAACATGATGGTATCCACTACTGAAATCTGAACATGAAAATGGTAAATTCGAGATTAATTGATGAAAACATTCTGTAACTCATTTGATTCCCTACGTCACCAATAATTGTCATTGAAAACTGAAAAGCTTCAAGACATATTACGACATACGACTTCGCGATTGAAATAATCTCTTCTCATGTTGAAAACGGGAGTAGAATCGGTCCCGAAACGTCCAAAGATAAGTGAAAATTTGATATTTTTTCTATATACCTTTATTTCTCTTCTCCAAAATTTTTTCAATACAAATTGTCACTGACAAGCTAGTGAATTTTTCTTTTAGGCTCTCTGATAGGAAAATTCTTTAAACGCAGTGACATTTTGGGGCAAATCATCTGATTTGTCCTTACTACACGTATATTGAGATAATATTCATATTTTTATTTTATAGAAACGAGGAGAGAGAATCCCAAAAAATTTGGAATAATGAATGTACCACCTCCTCGATTAACCTACAGACAGTATAAATGACTGAGCTTTTTGTATTTATTTGACATTTCATTCCACTTTGAGCATTGTGGCTATTTCGTGGTTGAAGTTACGCCAGTCGGACAACCAGCCACTCCCGTATGGGAATTTCAGTTTTGGAGTGATTCTGACTTTCTGTTCTACTCAGATGGCGTTACTTTCATTTTGTCGATGAAAGACGCCTCTGGGGCCGATTTGATTTTTGTTTGGCTAGGCTACGCTGAGTCGGCGGTCTTAGGACTGCTGGCTGGAGACTACCCTGCACTGATGGGAGTCAAAGAGATCGAAACCGGTCTGTGGGTGTCTATAGCGTGACCTGGCTAAATCGAAATCAATAGGCATTCAGGAAAGAATCACTCGTATCAGTATTCGTTTATACGAGTCGATGCATAGATTTCGGCCAGGAAAGTAGTTGTTTTTCTTCAGAAATATACCATTGTTGTTTATTTTATGAACATTTTGTGGAAATGACTTTGAGCTTTTTGTATTTATGCAACTGATATGTTAATGGTACATTGTGATTTTATTAATGACTCTTTGCCATTAAAGTATTCCTGGCACTAAATCATCGTTTAACCAGTTCTGTTCCAGTGGTCTCTGGGAAGTAAAAAAGATTCATTTTAGTTTTCCCCAATACCGTGGAATGACACAGGGGACACAGGCTAAGGGTGTTTTTTTTTGGACCAAAATAAGGCGATAGGACCAAATATGCCTTGTTAAAATATTGCTGTGAAAAAAGATACAGGGCGTTAAAATTGAATTTTATTTTTCGTTTTTCGCTAAGCATTTCACTGTTTATTCATCAATTGTTATCAAACTCGGCACCGAGGCATACATGGAATAATATGTTATGTATTATTCTACAGTTTGTTACAGGGGAAGCCGTACGTGAATGATTACTGATGATGAAATCGACTGCTAACTTTTTTGACGGAATTTTTTAGTGATTTTGATTTCAAAATATGATATAAATATCATTTCTACGTAATATTGGCACCTACTCTTTTATAAACACGATATTTTCATCCGCTCTAGAGAAAAACGCAATTGAACAGGTCAAAGTCTCGGAAGGGGTTTTCAAATATTATTTCATTCATGTACAGTGTGCTTTGAACTATGAGAGAGTTGTTACTAGTAAATTACATTTTCTGAAAGTGAATGAATTTTGGTGCGAGTTTTATGGTCAATACTCTTTCGATTAAAACGTCCTGCGTATCTTTTACCACAGCTGTATTTTAATGAGGCATATTTGGTCCAATCGCCATATTTTGGTCCAAATAATCCGCAATTAGCCTATGTCCCAGTAGTTATGACTCACCCTCTTGTATAATGTACTAGCACAGTCGGAATATATAATATATGTATTATATTATGATAAAAACACCAAAGAACAAGTACTTTTTTATCGACACATAGTGCCAGCAGTATATGCCATCGGACAGAGTGTCGGTATTCTAATTCGCATTCGCTTGCCGGTCGTGGGTTCGATTCCCAACGACTGCAGAAATTTTTCTGATGGCCCAAGAAAGTGGTTGGGATCACACGTTAAAAGGTAAGGCCCCCGTCATTCCTTGCTCGCACAAGACTCTCGAAGACTTCTGAGGGTTGCTCGTAAGGGGGCAACCGAATGACGAATAGAACAATTTTAGAACACAATTTTTTTTAGA